ACCAATGGGCGCCCGGAGTTGAGGCCGACCGCGGCTGGGCCAACCGGCGCAACCCCGGCGAGGGGCGGCCGAGGCTCCCCGCGCCCGGCCGGACCCGGCGGAAGACAGCCCCCCGCTCTGCTGCTTAGATCTTATGACAATGAGTTTACATGCCACAGAGTTCACCCGATTAGAGTGTACAAGTCTGTGGTTTTTAGTAACGTTACAGAGTGGTCGTGCAGCCATCATCACGACCAATTTTACAACCTTTCCATCAGCCCGTAAAGGATTCCTCCTGCTAAGCTGCAGGCAATCCCCTTCCCATCGGGAGCCCAGGGCAACCACTAAACAGCCCTGTCGCCATAGATCTGCCTATGCGGCATTCACATCAGCGGAATCAGACCATACGGTGTTTTCGGCTCGCTTTCCTCTCGGGTCCTGTCCCTGTGCGGACAGAGAGCAGGTCGGATGCCCGGCGCTGTAATCCCGCTGGCTGCTCATGCCTTCTGCGATCCCCCCACGGCAGCTACAGGCATCTCCGACAGAAGACGAAAATCTGATGCGAGCCTACTTAAAATCCTCTGGCTTCTCCCACCGCCTTCAGAATAAAATCCAAACTTCTTCCCACGGCCAGCATGACCCCACAGGATCTAGCCTCCGCCTTCCCCAAGCCCTCATTTCCAAGCTGCCCCGGGCTCCCTTCGCTCCAGCCGCACCTGCCTTCTTTCTCTTGCCAGGTCGGGGCCCTTGAATTTGCTGACCCCTCTCTCTGCCTAGAACACTCTGCTCCCAGACCTTCTCAAAGCGGGCTCTCTCAGGTCTCAGCTCAAATGTCCCCTCCTCTGAGGGGCTGTCCCTGACTCCTAGCGACAGTAGCCCTCCCACCCCGCCCCATCACATCCCTATTTTCTTTTCTTCATGGCACCTACCACTATCTGAAATTATCTTGTCTGTGTGCCTACTGCCAGTTTTCCCCCAGGAGAATGTAAGCTCCACTGGACAAGGGACATCATCTTGGTAGCTCCAGGATCCAGCACACAGTAGCCACTCAATAAATATTTCTCAAATGCATACATGGAAATATAAACTTAGAAAAGTTAAACCCATATAGTATGCCCCTCAGATCTGTTCTACTGCCAAAGTGAGTTTTTCCCTTTTAAGTACAAAAGTCATCCTAAAAAATCCCACAAAATCAGGCTTAATTACCTGGAAATCTGGAAATTTTAAATTAAGTTTTCAGAGCTAGTTATACTAACTGCCATAGAAAGACTTTCTGAATCACTGCAATTACTTAGTCAGTGGGTATTTCCTTTTCTTTGACAAAAGACAATCTTCAACTCCTTCTATAGGGCGTAACCACTTCAACCCAGGGAGAACAGAATCAAAGAAAGAGAGCAGCAGAAAGGGGGGATCCAGTGTTCCCCCAAAGTAATACAAATAGTGGTACTTGAGGGAAATTTTTTATGTCATTGGGACATAACACAACACACCATAACAAATACATGTTTAATATGAATTAGGGAAAAATAGTACTAGATTTATAGATTTAGATTGGAGGGAAGATTTGAAACTCCCCCAGGCAGGGACTCTGAGTGAAGACGCAACTACACAATTTACTGAGCACTGAGGCCCCAGGAATCTAACCAAAATGTGTGAAAGGGAAGAGAATCACTTTTCACAATTAGGTTTATCGATGGTGTACAAAGTCCATCTGAAACAGTGAGTAAATTATCTGGCCCACAAAGAAAACTCACAGGAGATTTGCTCTGTGGCCACTATAAGGCTGTGACTGAAGACATCCATTCCCCACCCCTCACTGCATCATGCAGACCCCTTGAAAGGGGCCACAAGAGGAATTTCTCTCAAGAGTCAACTAGGAAAAACTGTCCTTCGTTGAAAACCAGCTTATTTTTAGTCTATGGATGCTATGATTCCTGCAGCTAATCACATTTGTTTTTTTGTAAACTGAAGACTAAATTAGGGGTCTACCTTTGCTAAATGCAAGGTCTTTGGCATATATTTTCGTGGGTTTACATTCACTCTGGGTGTTGTTTGACTTTCCTCTCCATATTATTTTCCCTCCCCGAGCCCCCATCAATTTACTTTGTGCTTTTATACTGTATACATTTTTAAAGGCTTTATGAATTTTTAATCCTTTCTTTGGAATAGGGGAAATAATTCAACAGAAATATATATAAAATTGACTCTCTAAGGTACGAATAACATATTTGGACCAAAACTCCTACGACTTCAGGAATTTGTGATCAACTAAGGCTTCTAACAACATTTATTTACACAGTTGACCCTCTCGTGCATTTTGCTGAATCTGGTCCAGCAATGAGAATGCCCAATCCGCATTGCTTTGCACATATGGATAGCTACATATGTGAATTAAATTTGCAGAGCACTTAATAAAAATTTTCTACAAAAATAAAACATTTCATTTATTAAAATTTTACAGATAGGTATGTAAGAGTACAACAAACTACTGAAGTAAAAGTCTATGATCTGTAAGAAGTCAGATGGTAGTTAATTCCAAGCTGTGCATACTCTGGTCCAGGGGTCACTGAGGAACACAGCTAATATGAAGAAGGATACCAACAGTAAGCCCTTGGCAACACACTGAGAATAAGGCTCCCCTGCAAGACAATGAATCAAATTAAGTAACATTCTTACCTTTTTTTGTAATTATGTAGGCAGAAATAAGCCAAAACATTAACAGTGATCATTTCTAACTGGCAACATTATCAGTAAATTTTTTCTTTTTAAAACTTTTCTATATGTTTTAAGTTTTCTGTGACATTTACACATTTAAAAAAAATTTTTTTTAATTGACATATACTGATAACCATTCCAGAAATCTGCTTTACTCTACCTTGGTAATACTGGGTCACTGGGTAGAGAAGTTGCGGCCAACATACTTCATTTCTGTTACAGTCATACTCTGTAAAATTGATTTGGAATCTACAAAACATTTTAGAAGATTATAATAGCTACAACGAAGCATGCTTTTGATGAGAAGCATCAAAACTCGGTTAAAGAAATAAACTTCTTATTTTCGAATACATATTTTTCTGCTTCCTAATAATGTCAGTTAGGTCAACAACCAGATTACCTTGTCGGTGGACGGGGTAACTGAGCAGGGATCTTAATAAACTGGACTGATGCAGTGATAGGGAAAAGGTCGGCCTTCTCCTCACAAGTGAGCCCACACTGGAACTGCCAGTTCACTGAGGAGAACCTGGGAGGAAAAGATTATGCAGGCAACATATCCACCATTCACTTCCAGTCTGTTAAAAATATCAGGTAACTGACACAGCAACAATGTAAATTGAGATTTATATTCCCTGATCAGTATGCTAAATATATTCATGGATTTCAAAATATGCTTAGCACTGAGCAGACCCTATTCATCTTTGTACCCCCTAAAATACGTTGCAGAATCCCTTACACATAGTTTTATAAATACTTGTGAGTGAGAACAAGTTTCCATTACAAACGTAGTTTATATATATTCCATTTATACATATAATCATATTGCTAATCATTGCAATTTATAAGTAATCAGCTTCTAAATTAGCATTTTCCTTTTCTTTGGAGCACCCTCCACTTTACAGCCTCTGTCTAAAAGACACTTATCCAAGATGCCATCATACCTTGTCTCTACGCCAAGTATCTCCTGCTGAGTAATCCCTTCCACTGCACCAGCATCTGAGATGAGGATGCGGATAGCCAGCTGAGCAGGAACATCTGGGCAGGTGCCGTTGGCGCTGCTCACGGACGGGGCTGCACCTGGGTCAGGGGCATCTGCACCTATAGAAACGTCAAGTTGTGCATTTTGGAAAGAATAATTTAGTAACAGTTTTCCTGCAGTGCCATGATACAAAAAAAGGGAACTATTATTAGATAGGAATCACATTAATGAGGCTTTAATCTCCAACAGGCTCTGCTTACTCATCACTCCATAACTGTGCTGTTACCCCTCGTGTTCAAAACCGTTCCTTGTATGTTAAATGTTAGTCGGAACTTGCAAGTCCCTGACCCACATAACAAAACCACAAATCATGATTCAGTTCCCAAGCTCCTCACTGAAATCCACCCAGTTTTAACAGAAATACCATATAATTGCAGGAAAACGCCATGAGATTTATTCCCTGCAGTCACTATTCTGGTAAAAAGTGTGTGAGACGTTTAAAATCCAGACTCACAACTTCAGTTACTATGGATTAAACAGTTAAAAAGCAATTTCCTAATGTGTTGCCATATCAGTAATGCAAATGGAAGAGAATAAAACTAAATTAGAAATTAGTTTTCACTCATCTTGAAACCTGGCACTTAGGGGGAAAACAGCAAGGCCGGGTATAGGGTGGAGGGCAGGTTCCATGGCAACTCTGGAGGGGACTTCTCTCTTCCTTCAGGGGTTTAGAAGGTGGGTGCCACTGTTTCTTTATGATGTCCAATCTCCCCCTCCTTGATACATGTGTTCAACATCACTTCTCTTGTGTTTACTAACCAGGATCAGGGTGGATTTTGGTTTAGACATGAAATAGAAGCCAACCGCATCCCCCTTGAAGGCAACAAGATGCCATCACGTCTGACTTCTTACCTAACCAACTTAGGTTCTGTCTTGGAATTTCCCATACTGTTACTTCTCAGGTGCTTTACTGATTCCTTCCCTCCATCCGTCGGGCATTTCACAGCCCATCTAGCTGGCCTAGATGGCAAAGCCCAGGGGCTGACAAGCCCCGACCTCTGGGTTCTGTTTCCAAATGAGGATCTGACTCTGGGCCTAGTGACATGAGCACAGGCTGAAATCGGCAAATTGGCAAATCGCAGCCTGAGAGCGCCGTGGCCACCAGGACCCCCTGCCCGAGTCAGAGAGTAGTCCACAGACATATTACATGCCCCCTGGCCACAAGGGGCAGGGAGAGAGCAGGCATGTGTCTGGATGGTCCTTTGTATTCCAGCTGGCTGAGCTGAAGGGACCTCAGAGGATATGGAAAGGGTGAGGGCAGGATCCAGAGAGCTGCTCCCCAACAGCCAGGCAGAGATGAGGACACAGCAGCATCTGCAGGGACAGGAGGGGACTTAGGAGAACACACACTGCAGAGGCAGTTAGCTCTTTCTGGCCCCAAAAGGTAATTCCAATAATTAAAACAACAGAAGAAGCTTTTTTTATGTTCAATGCATTTACACACTCAAGACTCCCCAAGAAATCAGAAAGACGTGACCTGACTTAGGGAAGAGAGGAAAGAGGCTGGAACCCTGGGTCTTCCTTCCAGTTCCGCCATAACTCACTGTGACCAGGCACTCCACTGACAACCTGAGTGAGCTGGAGCTCAATGACCAAACGGACATTTTTGATTCGGAGGTGAAATTGGGCCTGTTGTGGCAAGCTAACTCTGGTTCACTTCTCCTCCACGTGCCACACATGGTGTCTCTCCCCCTCCTCCTCACACACGATCCCCCTGCTAACCCAGTGCTGCAAATATCTCTGACCACAGGCACTGGACTTCAGGGCTTTTTATCTGGCCTTGGGGATCCCTGCTATTATTACATACGTTGTACCTTAATTTCTTTCTTTTTTAACAGTTTTATTGAGATATAGTTCACATACCATACAATTCACCCATTTAAGAGTACAATGCAATGGTTTTTAGTATATCCACAGAGTTGTTCAACCATCACCAGATTCAATTTTAGAACATTTTCATCGCCCCCAAAAGAAACCCTGTACTCATTAACAGTCACCCCCCATTTCCTTCCAACCGCCCCAGCCTCGGCAATCACTAATGTGCTTTCTGTCTCTGTGGATTTGCCTGTTTGGGCTACTGCACATAAAGGAATCATACAGTATGTGGTCATTTGTGTCTGGTTTTTCTCACTTAGCATATTTTCTATCACCTTATTTTCTTTTAAGTTAACAAAATTGCTTTTATAAATTATGAAGTCCGTTGTCAAGTGCTCATATTCCTGGCAATCAAAAATAGCAACACAAACTGAAACACACTAAAAATCTTCAAACCTCATTTAGACTTCCTTTTACAAAGACTGTTAGCTCGTAAAACAACTGGGCAATTTGAACTTCATGTGGATTTCCTCTTAGAAAACAAAAAAGGCATCATGCATAAAAGGTAAAAGATGTGAAGTCTCCTGCCTGGAGAATTAACCTCTAAACAAAAGTTAGTTGGGCCACAGTAAAGAAAGACGACCTGTCGGGTAGGACATTAATACCACAGCTGGCACTATGTAGTCATAGTAACCAAGTTATCTATCTCACACATGTGCACCTTTGACTTACGTATTATTTCAAGCCAGCCATCACCAAGATCGTTGTAATCGGAGTTGCCTCTCATTGCAACATGAGTTGCTTGTATTAATGAATCAAGTAGTTCAACGGCATTCTCCCTGCAAGAGAGTAAGGCATTTCTCAACACACGGCCAGTAGCTCTTGTCCCAAAGTTCTTCTCAGGAAGTGTCCAGGTTGTGCTTGCTGGGGCCTAAATAAAAAACTGCCAGAGGAACGGGCATTAAAAACTGGCTGGGAGTCTTTTTCTTCGATGGCCTTCCCAGGGTGGACCTAAGCAGCTAGGGGAAGACATATAGAAGCAATCTTTCACTTTGCACTTAAAATGTTCGTAACTTATGTTGGTTAACACGTGGTTTACAGGCTCCATTGAATGTCACAAAACTGAGGAAGTGAGTAGATCACATATCAAGTTACCAGGACAAATTCATGAGCCAGAGTGATCCAATAGTAAAAGGAACCTAAATATTTAGCTTTATATATTTAGCATTTTCAGCCATAAAATTAAGTGAAGATTAAGACTTGGAACTTAGCATCCCTTCTCTCCAGTAATGTCATTGGAAGGTACAAATCTTATAAACTGCAGGGAAGAGACTCTGACGGTGGACTCAGGCCTTGCACCCTGCAATCAGGAGCTGCTGCGGGTAACTAAGACCCAGTTTTTCTTCCCTTCTAAATGTCTCCCTCATCTTTTCCCCTGCTCCCCAAAGAACTACACCATTTGGGATATGCTACAGATGAAATGGGTGTAAGAATGCATGCAATCAAAACCACGATGAGATACCACTTCACATCTACTAGGATGGCTACTATCAAAAAATGGAGAGACTAACACGTGTTGACAAGGATGTGGAGAAACTGGAACCCTTTTAACGTGCTGGTAGGAATGTAAAAGGGTGCAGTCACTGTGGAAAACAATACAGCAGTTCCTCAAAAAACGTAAACATAGGATTACTATACGATCCAGCAATTCCACTCCAGAACATATGCCCAAAAGAACCGAAAATAGGTGTTCAAACAAAAACCGGTACATGAACATTCACAGCAGCACTATTCACAATAGCCAAAGGAGAAAACAACGCAAATGTCCATCAACAGAGGAATGGATAAACAAAATGTAGTATATCCATACAGTGGAATATTATTCAGCCATAAAAAGGAATGAAGCACTGATAAACGCTACAACATGAATGAACCTTGAAAATATTATACTAAGTAAAATAAGACAGACACAAAAAGTCAGGTATTGTACGATTTCACTCATATGAAATATCTGGAATGGTAAATCCATAGGCACAGAATGCAGACTGGTTGTTGCCAGAGGTTGGGGGAGGGAGGAATGGGTACTGCTTAACGGATACAGGGGTTTCCTTTTGCAGAGATGAAAACGTTTGGGAACTAAATAGAGGTGGTGGTTGCATAATATTACGAATATACTAAACACCCCTGAACTGTTCACTTTAAAATGATTATGTGATTTTCACCTCAATTAAAAAATATATATATATATGCATATCCATAAACACACTTTTCAAACAGCAGACAATTAAGTGGAAAATTCTTTATACACATGTAAGAGGGCTTCAGTGTTCTTTACATGTTAATCACAACAATTACACCCGGTTCTAGCCCCTATTTGAGCTCTAGGAGTATTAGGTTCCAACGATCCGAACAAACTTCAGCACAAAAATTTGCATAAATATGGATGAAATGGCTTCAGTCCCAAGAAAGAAGTCTATTTCCCTTACATTGATGTTTGAATCAACTCTAAATTGTATTGGAAGTTGTATTTATTTATTTTTTATTTTTTATTTTTTTTAAAGATTTTATTTATTTTTTTTCCCCCCAAAGCCCCAGTACATTGTTGTATATCATAGCTGCACATCCTTCTAGTTGCTGTATGTGGGACGCGGCCTCAGCATGGCCAGAGAAGCGTCACGTCGGTGCACGCCCGGGATCCGAACCCGGGCCGCCAGTAACGGAGCACATGCACTTAACCGCTAAGCCACAGGGCCAGCCCTGGAAGTTGTATTTATTCATTATTCACTATCACTTTTACACAAGTTTTTATTCAGACTCTAATTTTTCACATTCATGTTGTCTTTAGTATTCATGTGGTGAATTAATTTTAAGCAAACCACTCAAAATGCAGATAAACTCATCAATGAAACACTCACCTGAGCTGAGTACAGTTTTCATTAATCCCAACTTCTAAAAGGCACCCAGATAATGCATTTTCTCCAAATAAAATGGGTTTGAAAGTTGCCAACGTACACAAACCCCTTCCAGCTATAAAATAAAAAGATTATCCTCTTACTATTTTTGCAAAATAATAGTAAAGACTTACTTCAAAGTTTTTCTTGAAACTCAGAGAGAAAACAATAAGTAGAAATAAAGTTTCCAGTTTTTGAGAACTGACGTCATTACTCTAATCCTTTCAAAGCAGAACAAAGGTGGCTTTCTGTGTCAGAATACCTGGACAGGGATCAATGGTTCATTCTGAACATGAAATTTAATGCTTCTGGCAGACGTGGATAATTACCACTAAGGCAAAGATTACCCACAGTTAGGAACGCAGCTAGTCTCATGTCTTCGATTAGCACCATCTTGGGCTATAGACAACAATAACAACGGACTCTCCAACCAATCCCATATTTAAATCTCTCTTACTAATGACCAGCACTTCAGATGCAAACAATGTTAACATTTTTACCAAAAAAAAAAACAGCTGTAGAAGCATGAAAAACCACCACTCCTCGGCTAAATAAACCAACTGAGCTTTAAAGGAATTGATTACTTAATTAGATTCAAAATATGGTAGTATTTCCAATTCTAGTTTACCAGAGAGCTAATCATACTACCAAACCAGATTACCCGATTGCCAAAGGTGTAAAGCCGTAACATTATTCATCCTGTTGGTATTCAGAGCTCGAACAGGCTTGCCAAGTTGGTAACCTAGACAAACACAACAAATGAGAATTAGCATCTTTCCTTCTCAAGTTGTTCTAGCATAACAAGCACTATCTCATCAAATAATGTGAAAGAGGACCACACCATCAAAGCAAATACACAGGCAAAGCTTCTTCAAAATACTCTTGAGAGACAGAGATTACCTTCGTTCATTTTGTTTTTTAACAGACGAAGATATTCATGTGATTTTTAAAATAAATTTAAAAATGAAATGTGAAAAGTCAAAAGCAGGTGGGAGCTGGTCTTGGATCTCTCACACCGGAGAACAACAAGCTGTGAGCAGGCCGGTTAATGACTACTTGCTGAAGGATTAATACACTTATCACAGCAGCTTGTAAAGCAAACTGAAACCAGAGCAACCTCTCAATGGAGCCATTCTCAGTGCAACCTCAAAGTCTGGTTTAGGTCCTATTCCCATCCGTCTCCTATTTCCCAATTTACTGTTTCCACCTTTTTATTATGAAAATGTTCACATGTACAGACAAGTTGAAAGTAATACCATGAGCACCAATACAGCCACCACCCAAAATCAACAACTGTTAATATTTAGCCGTTATTTGTCTTATCTATATTATATAAGCATATACATATTTTTTTTTGCAGGATCATTTGAAAATAAGCTGTAGACATCATAACACTTCACATCTAGAAGCTCCACTACATATCTCCCAAAATTAAGGATATTCCCCTCATAATTATGATACCAATATTTCTCCTAAGAAAATTAATAATAATTCCTTATAATCATACCATATCCAGCTCATATTCATATTTCCTCATATGTCCCCAAAAGTGTGTTTTAGAGCTGTTTTAACAAACTGGGATGCAATCAAGGTTCATGCACAGTGTTTGTGTTTCCAACATTACTTCCCACTGTTCCTGAAGGAGCAGCCTCGCCCCTGCCGCTGGCCGGACCCCTGCCCACACACACTTCATGCTCACTTCTGCCTTCTCGGCTTCCCCCAGGTTATTGCTTTTCCCAGCACGCACTACCTGCTTGCCAAGGCACGATCTCCTCCACGCAGCCCAGCATGGAAACTCACCGAGGGCAGGACTCTGTCTGGATCATTGCTCTTCCTCCAGCACTCAGACCAGAACCTGGCACGTACCAAACACTCAACCCAGTTCCTTAATGATGGAAAGTTTGGGTGAGTGGTCAACATTCCACTCCTCTGACATTCTAGAGGACCTGTCCAGAAGTCCAGTGCTCATTTAGTAACTACTTCGGATTGCTCACTCTTGTTTCCTGGGACTTGGTGGTCTTTCCAAGTAAGAGAGTTAATTCCTCGAGGATAGGGCCCATGTTATAGTCCTCCTAAAGTCCTGTCCTGCCTCAGAAAGTGCTAGAGAGAGTGGCTGTGTATACATAAGCTGCTCCACTGACTGATCAGTTCTGGCTCTTAATCAATTTACTCTTTTTTGACAAGAGCTTCAACATTTTTCATATATTCTGACAGTGTTTCTCAGAAATTGTGTGACATTAACTCAGTGAAATGAAAACCCTTAAATTCAGGGAGCCTGCTTTTAAAGCCAACAATAAACCCCACAACTCCACACTAATAGGTACACCAAAATCCAATTTAAAAGAAAAAAATACATACATATATATATAAATATACAATGGATCATATATTATTAAATCAGCACATATAAATATTGAAGATCATGCAAAATAAAAAGTTATTTAAAAGTAAAAAAGTTGTTCCTTCACGGTTACCTCTGCCTGATTAAAAATAGTAAAAGAAGGGAACTTTCTTTTATGAAACAATGATAGTTTATCCAAGAAATATTTACTGAACACCTGCTATGGTCTAAGCCACGGCTGCCCAATAGAAATATAATGCAAACCACATGTGTGGTTTTAAAATATTATGTATTTTTAGAATTTTTTAGAAATTAAAATTTTTTTGCTATTAGCCCCATTAAAAGAGAACAAGAAATAGATAAAATTAATTTGAACAATATATTTTATTCAACCCAATATATCCAAAATATTATCATGTCCACACACAACACAGGCCACACTTCAAGCGCCCAGCAGCTGCATGTGGCTGGCGGCCAGCACACTGGCCAGTGCAGCTCTACATACTCTGTTAGGCACTGAGGCGGCAGCAGTGAATGAAAGAAACATACACATACAAATCAGGTGGTGATGTATTTGCACAAAAATACAAAATGCACAGTATGACAGGGAGTTCACAGTCCCTGAGAAGTCTCTCCACGGGTCCCAGGTTAGGAACCCATCATCTGCAGCTATTATTTCTTAAAAAGCTAATTTTACCAACACTTTAAATGCACTGTCTCTTTTTCAAAAGGCCAGTAGGTAAAGAGAGAGAATGTTTTGCATTTACAGCAACTTGTTACTATCCACGACACTTTATGTAAAAAAATCAAGCTGTTATCAGAAAAAGAATACAGTGTCACAGAAGCGAAATGAAGAGAAAGGTCAGAGTCATAAACTAAAATTGGCAAGAGTTACTTATACTCATCATTATAGTATAAGAGTGTTGAACTAAAATACGTTTGTAAGATCAATGATTGACAAATATTATCTTACCTGGATTTCCAGATGATTCCTTTTCATTACCACTATTATAGCTTAAAAATTTTACTGTAAATCTCTGTGACATGATTCCTAGAAATAAAACAAAATAAAAAGAACATGTGAGCCACTTCACTAGGAAAAAAATTATCCCCCATAGTGTTATTTTCTTTACATTATAACTGCATGTTTACATGCAAAAAAAAAAATTTTCTGTTTTATTAAATCACAAAGCAAATAATAAATAAGTCTGACTTAGTTTTATGTGTTACAATTACAGAATTTTGAAGAAAAAAATACTTTAAACTGAAAGCCTTCTCACTGCCCTCAACAAAGTTACCTTTCTGGTGGGCATTAATTTTTGCCCTAAGAATTTTGACATTTATTTCACTGATTGTATTATTATTCCATCTGAAAATATAATGTTCTTCCACATTCACGTTTCTGGGGGCTGATCCATTGCTTAAAAGTGTTTCTGCAAATAAAAGAATACTTTCATAAGTTAAAGACCCTCTTCGGGCTCAAGTCTATTATTGGTCGCACCAAGTCAGCACTAGCCACCCCCTCTGTACCATCACAACATCCTGAGTGAGGTCTGTCCCTCTCCTTCTATTTCCTTATCCCCAGCACCCGGCTTATAGCTCAATTCAGAGCACATGCCTGGTTGAACGCTTCTTAAATTGAAAGACTACAAAATGTCAGCTCCTCAAGAGCAGAGGCCTGCTGTCTAGTTCACTACCATATTGTAGGCACTCTACTAATATTTGATGAAGTAGTGAATAAATTTGAGAATTACAACACATTGAAAAGAAACACAAATAGTATCCTTCATTAAAAACAAAAGTCCTGGTAATATCAGCCAAACTCTGAATAACTTATTTGGCTGCATCACAACTGCCAAGTTTAATTATCAAAAAGAAAGCAAGGAGTGGAAATGCTGAGTCTTAGAGAATTCTCTAGCTATCACAGCAACATTTAAGAAACGGTGCACAGACCCTGAGAACTGAGGGGACTCTGGAACCCACATAACCCACGACTGCGGAGGAACTGGGTCAAGGTCACAGATATCACTCTGAAACAAGACGAGACAGAACAAGGAACAAACAAAATGCTAGTGGGATATCTTTCCAATTGCCGTGAACCTCCTTAAATTCTTAATAAAAGTGTATTTTACTCTAGGACTATACATTACTTGTAAGAAATGACATATATTTCTGTAGAAATGACATACAAGTATAATATTAAAATACCTGTACTGCTGATGAATTTGTCTAGGTCAGTTGCTTCCTCATAGATTACTTTTGGTGTAACAGTGCCTAAAAAGATACAAAAATTAACTTCCAGAGGACTACATGGCCTAACGATCACATTTACTTACTCAAATGAAAGCTTATCAAGCAAATATGGTAACTGTGCCAACTACAAAAGTCTCTCCCACTCCCCCAACACCATCAAATGGGTATCCCACTATTCTTGGCATCTAATTATAACTGAGGAGGAGAATCCACGTCAGTGATGATAATCTGGAGAGTCACTCTCATGTAAGAACGAATATGCTGTACGCTGCTGGTGGGGATGTAAAATGGTGCAGTCACTTTAGAAAACAGTTTGTTGGTTCGTCAAAAAGATAAATTACCATATGACTCAGCAATTCCACTGCTAGGTGTATATCCAACAAAAATGTCCACATAGACACTTGTACGTGAATGTTCACAGCAGCACTATCACAATAGCCAAAAGCTGGAAACAACCCAAATGGCCATCAAAGGATGAATGGATAACAAAATGCGGTATTCAAACAATGGAATATTATCCAGTCATAAAAAGGAACCAAGTTCTGATTCATGCTACAGCATGGATGAATCTCAAAAACATGATGCTAAATGAAAGAAGCCAGACACAAAAGGCCACATACTGTATGATTCCATTTATATGAAATGTCCAGAACAGCCAAATCCATAGAGATGGAAAGTAGATGAGCGGTTGCCAGGGGTCAGGGCAAGAGGAGAAAGGAGAATACTGTAATGGGTATGGGGTCTCCTTTTGGGGTGATGAAATGTTTTAGAACTAGACAGAGGTGATGATTGCACCACATTGTGCACGTACTAAATGCCACTGAACTATATACCTTAAAATGGTTAATTTTATGTTATGTGAATTTTACCTCATTTTTAAAAAAGAACTAATATGCAATATGCTGTCTCATGGAACTGAATTTTTTCCAAAGAAAACACCTTCCTCAACTGGCAGTTGAAATATGATTTTAGGTTGATCCAACAGAAGTGATTTATATTCTCATGAGATCATAGTTTATCTAAACACTCAGGTCTGTGATCTTTCTTCAAACCAATGTAACGTACCTCCTACAGCACCACTTTTTATCTTCACACTGATAACATCATCTTGTTCTTGGTATACTTCCAAATTGGCAATGCATTGAACATCAAAATTCTGAAGGAATGCCACTGGGGCATTCTGCATACACTGCCCAGCCAAGGACATCTGAGGGTAAGAGAAAATGCCAACGGATTTATGACCTGTCTTCTAATCATAAAATACAGAGCAGCACCTCGTCAGAGGGCTCTTTCTGCAGCCTGCTCCTCTACTGCCGGGTTGTTTCAACAATGGCTAGTTCATTGACTAGCTGACAAACTTGAGTAAAACATCTAGCTGATTTGCTGATCAAAGTCTGGAAGCCATTGGTTAAGGAGTCACAATAGGTATTATTTAATGAAAATAAGGAAAATTCCCTGTCCTGCTCTATTTACTTTGCAGAAACATGATTATATCCAACTTCATTTCTTTCCTTCACTACAACCAGATTTTTAAAACCATAAAAGTGGATTCATATGATCAATAAAGAGAAATGGTTTAGATTTCCATGTTTTCTTCCTATAAATTTTTTTTCCTCATAATTTTGAACTTAAAAACAATATTTCACATAAAACTAGTCAAAATATTTTTCAAAATTCTGCAATATGATATTAAATTATATTTTTATAGCTTACTAGAAATTGGCTATTAAACTAACAGAAATGAGGAAGGACAGTACTTTCATGGAAATTTATAGAGTGTCTTTTGGTTTTATTTAGTAAGTTCACTCCGAGATTTAGCAAAGTCTGATTAATTTAAGAGTTGACTATTAAAAAAAAAAATCCAGAGACCATAAATAGTTGAATGCCTGAAAAGTCCACAGGAGAAAAATAAGTAACTTAGGAAGAGATTTTTATGAGCAATATGAGTTAAATTAACAATAGAGTGAGAAAAATAAGAAAAGGCTCTAGCATATTAAAATTGAAATTATTACCTGTGGAATAGTAAAATATGCCTTATCTACAGTCATCACTGGATCTCCTTGTTTGTAACCAAAGTCTGAAACATCTTTTAAATCAGTATGCAAATACACTTCAAAGGAAGTGTATTGTCTAGAGGAACTGTAAATCAATAAGAAAGATTATCACTATCACTTTCAGCTATTACCTGCTAAAAACAATTCTTTTAAATTTTTTTCTTTACTTTTTTAATTACAAAAATAACATTTGTACTAAATGCCACTGACTTGTACACTTTAATGTGGTAAATGGTTAATTTTATGTTACATGAATTTTACTTCAATAAGAATAATAATAAAGTTGTAAAATTTCAACAATACAGAAAGGGGAAAGACAGCGAGTGCTAGTCCCCCAGGAGCCCACCACTCTTTCTCCCAACCCAGATAATCACTATTAACTATTGGCAGTATAATCAATTTAATTTCAGGGAGGCCCAAATCTTTCAAACACTTAACACAAAACAAACCTACTAACCGAAACCTAGAACTGAATCTAGAATTGACTAATTTAAGCGTGGGGCCTCTGGACAGGTCCCGAGAAAAACGTGACCCACATTCCAGGGCCAACCAGGCACGCGGCCTCACCACACTGGCGAGCCGGCCCTCTCCCAGGCTGCGGCCCACACTCACACAGAGCCGTGGTAGAAGTAACCAAGGAAGGGCGAGTTGGCAAGGGAGGACTGCACGCACAGGAATGGAAACCAGTCCGGGACTCGGTGTGCCATATGAGCGGAGCAGAGCTGATCAAAAAGAGGATTAACGTCTCCTCCAAAAACGCCGGTGAAACAGGACTCTCTGAACAGTTCCGTTAAATTGGATGAGCATTCCTTGAAAGAAAACGTGAAGGAGCAGTGAGAAGACAAAAGCTTCCATTGTGCCCTCCATGAGGTCTCCTGGCAAGCATGAGGAACACTAACTCTTTGAGGCCAGCAGGACACCACAGAGGAAGCGAGAAACAAGAACAGTCTAAAAGTCTTCTAGTCTAAAAGTGCTTTGTGCCCACAGAAAGTAAAATCGTACCAGAATTTCTTTAGTCAATTCCCTACGAGCCTCCAAGTGAGGAACTTCAAACCCTCAAAAGAACCACATCTTTACTGGGGACATAAGATGTGCCAACAAAAAACAATATGAAGAGAAGAAAAGATAATATGGAATAGACCTCAAATGGGAAAAAGATAGAGATATCTTCCCTTTGTAACTTCCCTTCCCTTCATCACCTTTCAAATCCTTAGCCCAGAGAAACCAAAGGACATTTAGAGTGAAGGCAAACAGTCCACAGTCCACAAGAATCCCAGAAGCCCTCACTGTTATTATAACACGACCCAATTAACATCACCAAGAAGCTACTTCATTCACGCATTCATTTATTCATCCATCGTCTTCCTTGCTTCACAAAGGATTGAGAGAGCTAAAAGTCAAATATGTCCTGCATGTCTTGTTTGTTGAAGGTAGAAAAGAAAGTGATCTATTTTTTTAAACAAGAGCAATTTAAATTAAAAACTGATCACGTATATGTTAGTGATAAGTTGCAGTTATCTGAGGACATCATTGATCCAGAATCCTAAACGATGCTGGTAGTCGGTGCTGTAGGTGTACAACCATATATAACAAATACGAAAAGAAGTGAGAAACTGGGCACAGGAATGCAATCGGGAAGAAAGAGGAAGAGAACACCATTTTGACACTTCTATTGATACCTGAACAGATTTATGTTTTATTTTTTAATTAAATATAGTTGTTATTATAAGTACCACTGTTAGTATGAGAATTACAATATAAATGACGACTCTAAACTTTCCTTTTCTGTTTAATAAAACCAACCATGACATAATTGCATTCGGCCAAAAATGGAAGGGACATGGATCCCAGTAAATGTGTCTCTTTTGCATCTCTCATTCTTCTTGAATCTAAAATAAGGATTAAAAATATGTACTTGACCTGGGATTAGGCAATGGTTTCTTAGATATGACACCAAAAACACAAGCAACAAAAGAAAAAAGTTGATAAATTGGGTGTCATCAAATTAAAAAACTTTTGTGCTTCAAAAAACACCAACAAGAAAGTGGACAACCTACACGATAGAAGTTTTTTGCAAATCATATATCTGATAAGACACTAGTATCCAGAACGTATAATGCACTCTTATAATTGAACAACAAAAAGACAACTCAATCAAAAAACAGGCAAAGGGTCTAAATAGACATTTCTTCAAAGAAGATATACAAATGGCCAATAAGCACATGAAAAGATGTTCAACGTCACTTGTCACTACAGAAATAAAAGTCAGAAATCACAATGAAATACCACTTCACATCCACTTGGATGGCTACAATCAGAAAGATTATCATAACAAGTGTTGGTAAGGATATGGAAAATTGCAACTCTTCTCCACTGCTGATGGGAATGTAAAATGGTGCAGCCGCTGTGGGAAACAGTTCCTCAAAAGGTTACACATACTGCCACCATATGACAGAGCAATTCTACTCCTAGGTAACATATCCAAGAGAAACAGAAACACACATCCAAACAAAAACTTGTATTCACAAATGTTCATAATGGCCCAAAAGTGAAAACAACCCAAAGGTCCATCAGCTGAGAAAGGGATAAGCAATATGTGATACATCCATACAATGAATACGATTCAGCCATAAAAAGGAAAGAAGCCCTGACACCTGCTACAATATGGATGGATGACCCTTGAAAACATGATGCTGAGTGAAAGAAGCCAGATACAAAAGGCCACGTAGTGCATGCTTCCATTGATATGAAATGTCCAGAATAGGCAAATCCACCGAGATAGAAAGCAGATTAATAGTGGCCTGGGGATGAGAGGTGGAAACGAGAGTGACTGAAAATGGGCACCAGGTTTCTTTTTGGGGTGATGGAAATGTTCTAAAATTAGATTGTTGTGATGGTTGTACAACTCTATAAATTTACTAAAAATCATTGAAAAAGTGTATTTTCTTCCCTTTTTATATTTTCTTAAAGACTTCTAAATAAGATATTAAAACCATCCTCTCAGTATAATCATCACAATCATAACTATCTAAAAATATACAGTTTTTTTCTTCTATAAACGGACTGACAACGCTGGGTAAGAAAATACTCAATTTGAAAACAATTTGCAACACGAAATACAATCTCAGTTTTGAAAGACCATCCATTAAAAAGCTATTGATGGGGAACTGTAGGTGTTCTTCACTAGCTATTGGATACCATAACTTTTGTACCCAATAATCGGAGAGAACTTACCTGGTCACAGCAGCAGCGAACATCACAGGCCCCAGCTGTTAAATTACAAGGACAAAGACCAAGGGGCTGATACACCTGGTTAGGAATAACAGTCATGTTCTCTGAAAAGTACAAACAACAGAAAAATCAGCTACAAATTACCATTACCAAATATTCCACGTTATGGAATCCCTGAAATGAGCTACGCATGAAACATATCTGAGGCCTATGTCTACTCCTCCAACAAAAACCCAAACATAAGAAAATATGCTAGTTATAACAAACCAAAGAAGTCACAGTTGATCTTGAAGATAATTAAGTGGCTAAAATTTATAAGTTGGATAAATGTAATGCATTGATTTTATTTTTCAATACACCGAACAACTTTTCATAACACAGAGTGATATTAAGCATTTACTCCTCCAAATTCATTACCTCTTTCAGCAGATAAAACTGAAGCCATGGTGACATTTCAGACAGCTTATCTGAAACCCATCTGACCACAAGACCATATTTAATTATGTTTCGTGCTCAACCTCAAGGCCCAACACATGTAAACTGAAATCTTCACATCCTGATTCTAGTTCAAGTGTGGGGGAAATTCATAATTTTTACATTGATTGGAAAAGGAATATGTTACATTACATTTCAGCCTCCTAACTCAGAATCCAGAGACTTACATTTCTAGTTTCTCTGCAATAATTTATCAGATAAGAGTTTCAGTCTGCTGAATTTTACTTTTGTCCTAGGATTTGGTACACTTTAAAAAACTATGTAGCGATTATTTGTTTAAACTCGATGTAACAGTTAACTTTAGTGACATGACAGCTGATGCATCTAAAAGAGCAACTAATTATATAATCTACGCTATACTAGAGCAGAACCCTAGCATGTCAACAGTATCAGGAACAAAGAGAAGGTCCAAGGAACAGAGCATGTTACAAGGGTCTGACCCTCAGGATAATCAACCCCATGGGGCATAAGCAAGACACTTTAGGCTGGGGTTTTACTATGCGATATATAGATAGATGATTGCATATCTATCTATATGTCGTTTGCTAGCTTCGCTCTTACTAGGCATACCACGTACCTCCCGTCTGTCCTTCCATCCTTTTTCTTGTTCTGATCTCTGTCTGACTGGGCGCAAAATTTTTCATACCTTCATGGGGTCAGAGCGGACATCTCATAATTACCAATATACAAAGACTCTGTAATTTTCCTAAGCTTGGCTGCTTGTACAAAGACATTCCGAAATATGACCTAAATATAGTCAAGCATATTTTTAAAAAGAAAAAAGTCACTGCTTGGAACAGTATAGCTACCATTAATCCCTCTTGTTGATTTTTTAAGCATCCACTGAATATTTTTTGGTTTGTTTTGAATTTTAAGCGTTAGAAAATATTTTTTCTTCAAAAAACAAAAGTTTAGGGCCGGCCCCGTGGCTTAGCGGTTAAGTGCGTGCGCTCTGCTGCTGGCGGCCCGGGTTCGGATCCCGGGCGCGCACCGACGCACCGCTTCTCCGGTCTCATGGCCGCGTCCCACATACAGCAACTAGAAGGCTGTGCAACTGTGACATACAACTATCTACTGGGGCTTTGGGGGAAAAAATAAATAAATTAATTAATTAATTAAAAAAAAAAGAAAGAAAAAACAAAAGTTTAAACCTTTAAATAGCTAATGGAGTCACATGGTTCGAAAAAATCAAAAGAATATTTAAAAAGGCACACAGTGCAAGTCCTCACTCTTAGCCCTTTCCTGTTCCCAGTCACCCTCCAAACTGGCAGCACATCGTTAGCTTCTCAGATAGCTTCCCAGAATTTCTTTATGCAAATATAAATATACATTCTTATTCCATGCTTTATGCATCCACCTGCATCTGCATCTGCTTTGCACACTTAGCAGTACATCTTAGGATCTTCCGTGCAAATGCATGAAGGGCAGAGTAGCCCACTGAACGCTCTATCAAAACTTGTCTAAACCTCCTAAACTGTCAAAACCACAGGAAGGACCACAGTCAGGGGATGTGATACGGGAAGTGACGGTGTGGGAGTCTCAAAGTGACAGAACTTTGTTACTAAAGAGGAACGCTTCTCTCTTCATCCCCGGTGCCTGTAAATGCAAGAAGTGCTAGAGTTTGGAACAGGGAACATGGTGGTGGCACCGTACTGAGGGACGCCTCCACATCAGCACATCTTTTATTCTTAGAACATTGCCCTTATATGAAAAGGAAAATAATACAAAAGCATGTTCTCATGTCCAAAGACATAAGTGCACAATGATATTTGCTATAGCACTAGTTATAGTATCAAAAGCTGGAAATGACTGAAATTCAATTACTAAGAGACTAGCTAAATAAACAATGGTATATCTACACAATGGAATACTATGTAGCTATTAAAAAGAATGAGGTATTCTACATGTATTCATATGGAACAATCTCTACATTATATTATTTTTTAAAACATATAGAATAGCAAATCGAGTGTTATTATAGTGTGTGTGTGTGTGTGTGTTTAAAGGGAATATGAGCTTCTATAAGCATAAGTTAGCAGGCTGCCTTTAGGAAAGGGAGCTAGAGATCAAAAGCTTTCACCAAAACTCTGCTGTTTTTCTACAAACTCACTCATGAGTCTTTCCCTTCCCTTTGGTTTTGTGTATGGTTTTTTTGTTTTAAGATGAAGTCACAGGAATCAATACACAGAAACAAACTTCACCTTTTCCCAAAAAAGATTTAAGGTGGCTTACAAAGATACAAACAGTAGAGCAAGATAAAATAAATCTTAATTAAGTAAAATAAGACAAAGTGAAAACTCTTAAAATAAGAAAACTCAACAAAAGCAAAATAAGTTTAGCAAAGCAAGACAGACCCAAGAGTGAAGTACACAAATTGCATGGTATACACTTACAATCAGACAGATAATGCTTGACGTGAATGTTTTGATAGTCAAAGACTTTACTTGCCTGATGCATTATGGGCCATAGAAGAGTTGGCATAAATTTCCACTTGAATGAGTAGATGTGCTAAACAGGATGAATTGTGAGATGCTGAAATCAGAAGAGTTTGGACAATACATGGGGACTCTGAGAAGGAATCTGTCTCATTGGAGGAACACCATTGCAGACTCCTCTTCAACCTCACCGTCACTTCCAATGAATTCTGAAAGGAAAATATTGCTGTGCTTTTTAGAGTGACTCAAAACAGCATCTATAATTATAAGGACACATAAGGGAAAACATGATAAAAGCACACATCAGCAACCGTTCATTTACAAAAGGAGAATTGTATACAAAGATGACATAATTCTGTTCAATTCCACCCTGTAAACCTATGGCAATGTGCAAGCTTTGACTCCTAATCCTCGGTTTAACAGAAAAGCAAGTGACTTCTGGATACTTAGAGAAAGCTAAACAGTTCTGGTAAATTAACTCACTTTGTACAGCACCTTTTTAGTTTCTTTATCATCCTACCAGCAGATTAAAGACACAAAAAAAGGGCCGGCCCTGTGGCTTGGCGGTTAGGTGCGCGCACTGTGCTGCCGGCGGCCCGGGTTCGGATCCCGGGTGCGCACCGACGCACCGCTCCTCTGGCCATGCTGAGGCCGCGTCCCACATACGGCAACTTGAAGGATGTGCAGCTATGACAGACAACTATCTGCTGGGGCTTTGGGGGAAAAATAAATAAATAAAATCTTTAAAAAAAAAAAAAAAAAAGACACAAAAAAAGTCAATGGAAACAGTCCCCAGTTCCTGCGGTGCAAGCAGTCTGTCTTTTTCATCCTTTATCTCTGGAGTTGACGCCTTGCACACACTAGCCTCTCAATAAAACATTTATTAAATGGAAGATATTTAATGTCTCCAGGCTTGAGTGTCCTTTACACATAATCTCAGAGCTGGGTGAGACCCGCGGTTTAGGAAGCTTTTCTGAGTCACAGTTGCATTTGATAATCTGATGGAAGCTGGCGACCATCTCATCAGAAAAACGCACACACATGTAATTTTACACACACTTTCAGAGGGTTCACTGACTGCTTGACACTTGTCCAAGGACCCCTCACCCTAGGGTAAGACCCTCTGGGCTGGATGGGTGTCTACTAGATCTGCTGGCCCACAGTTTCATGGTAGTTCCGGGCACTGAGAGAGCTGCATCTTGTCCAATCAAGAGAGCACTGTAGAAACACCAAATGTGGGCCTCCACAGATGCTACTGAGAAGCCTTACCCCACTGGGGGTCACCGTCAAACTCCAGTCTCCCGTCTCATTGTTCAGCACTCCACAAGAAGGAACTGGCAATAACCCTAGGGAGAGAAGATGAGAATGCAAGGCAGTATCACCCAGCAGCTAAGGGGGTGCACTCTTGAATCAGGCTCCCTAGGACAGAATCCCTTTCCAACCCTAGGGCTGGGCCCTTTATAAGCTGTGTGACTGAATAAGTGACAAGCTCTCTGAACTCCAGTGCCTTCATTTGTCACATGGGATTAAAGGATATTACTGTTCTTATTAGGAAAATGAGGTGACAGGTGTAAAGCACAGGGGACAGCTCAACGAATGCTGGCCACTACGATTTCAAGCTTTCTTTCATCGAACCTGTCCGTCGGTTCTCTTTGGTCCACAGAGGCCTCCCCATCCCTCCTCCCCACACCGACTTTGCAGGGGACAGCGGCAGGGGACCCTGAGGATGCCACCTCGCCGGACTCCTCCGGCGGCCTGGACCTGGCCCAACCCCCACTCTCCAGCCGGAGGGGCCGGACTCTTTACCCTCTGCGTCCTGCAGCAGGGCCAGGGACACGGTCACATCCTCGGTGCCTCCGACCAGGGACGCGCTGACCGCAGGGCCGGACATGCGGATGACAGGAGGGATGAAAACTAGGCGGGAAGGAAGGGACAGGGAGGAGTTAATGGTTGCAGAGCCCCTGCCGGAGCGTGTGGTGGCCTTCCTTGGCGGCGTCTTCCGGAGCTCCCGCAGGAGTCCGAGTCCGACCCTTTACACGCCACGTCCCCTCAGCCCGGCCCTGCAGCCCCTGCCCCGCCGCACACACCCAGGTCCCCCCACAGCGGCCTCAGGACGCCCTGCAGAAGGAGGAGCCCCAAGAGCAGAGGGGCCGCCGGCGGCAAGCCCATGCCTGGGCCTCGCGCGGGGCCCGCACCACAGAACCGCGCGCGTCTTAGAAGCCGGGAGGCCCCCAGGCGCCAAGACGCGGCCCTCGCTGCCCTGCCGCCGCCATCTTGTCAAGCGAGCGCCCGGAGCTATGGCAACCACCAATCGGCCGCCGGCCAGGCGGAGCGGCGCGCCGTGATTGGGCCAGCAGCAGAGAGAGCCCGCCCCCAGCCGCTGCATCCCGGCCCCGCCCACAGGCCTTGCGCCCTCGGGGCCCCTCCACTCCCGCTGCAGGATCGGGAAGGAGTGGGAGTCCGCGTCTACTTTAAAAAGTGGGGTTCCCCCCGCCTTGAGTTAATTCAGTCACACTGCAAGAGCGAGCCTGCAAGCTTCGTAAACTGAGTTTTTATGGGGATTTGGGGGGAGGGACAAAACGGAGGTGAGGCCGCTGGGCTATGATTGTGGTGTTGAATTGTTTTTATTATTCTCCCGGTTTTTTTGAAGTTTTTTGGTTTTGTTTTGTTTTTTACCACACAGAGCTCTCAGCACACCCAAAGCAGATCTTACCACAGAACACACAAAAGGTTTTGCCCGGCATTAGGACAGGTGCAAAAGTTATCAGAATTCTAGCTGGAAAATTTTTCGTTTTTCTTGTCAATAGCCTCAAAGCGTTTCAAGCGTTGTTGTAGTTCGGAGACAGAGGGCAGGCTCTGAGGTCAGACTGCCTGGTTTGGGATTTTGACTTCCCTGCACGCTGTTAAGTGAGTCACTTAACCTCTCTAAGCTTGAGTTTCCTCATTGATAAAAAGGGGAAAATAATAGTCCCTCCCAAACAGGGTTGTGTGAGAATTAAATGAGGTGACATATGTAATGAGCTTAGACCAATGCCTAGCATACGGTAAGCACTGGATAAATGTTCTCTCGTTTTCTTAGCTATCAGAGGGAGCGTGTGCCAATAAGCTGAGAGAATCCATGTATGGTGTTCTGCACTGTACCTGACAGAGACAAAAAGTCTCTTTTTTAGGTCAAAAAGCTTTTACATTTAGGTAAAACAAAGTAATTGAGGCAAACACTAATGGCCATGGGCTATTTTAAATGTACTATAAATCCTTCTTTACACTGAGTTCTACCTTTCCAGACCTTTACATACTTACTGCGCAGTCATGTATTTTAAAGACATCATTAGTACCATAGTTATCTGTATTGGCAAATATCACTTGTCAGACACTCAAAATAAAACTATTTTTTCTTAGGTTAATTGAAAACCATCCTTTCGGATAATTCAGCACATGTGTGTGGTGATGGGTTGTAATTAGTATTTGGGTGGTGAACATGATGTAATCGATGCAGAAATAGAAGTAGAATGATGTTCACCTGAAATTTATACAATGTTATAAACCAATGTTACTGCAATAAACAAAAAATTAAAAAAAAAAAATTAAAAAATTAAAAAAAGAAAACCATCCTTTCATTTACCAGACAACAGATCTGAATCCTGGAAGTGTTGACATCTGCTATGGTAAAGAAATGCACCAAATATCAATTGACAGTGATTCTCTAACCACCCTCCCCCCCCAACTCTGGGTTGGGTGGTGGGAGAATGATTGATGGAAGTGGATTTTCTATTTTTTCCCCCTACTTTTGTGAATTTTCTTTTCTTCAGAAAGCATATAATCATTTTCTGTTGGAATCAGAAAAAGAAGTACTTATTAAAAGTATGCTTTATTTTCCTGCTTTTAGTTGCATTAAGCTATTTAGCCAGTAGTGAAATGAACTATGGAATTCTAGGGCATTAAAGTCAAAAGGAAGTTTCAAGAATAAAAAAATATTTTTGAAGTTCAATTATATTATTAAAAATAAATTACTATAGAGAATTTTTCTCAAAATTCTTTGTGATCATTTCTGTTAATATAAATGTAGGCATAAAACTTCAATTCAACCATCAATGCAAAGTCTTGATTTTTAAATACTGTACTTCTTATATAAAAATGTCAGTGGTGTATTTACTTTCCTCTCCCTTACTGCTGGAAACACTCCATGCACTCTTTTGGGAATTACTAACATTCTTACAACTGATGTTTGGATTATTTGAAATAAAATAATTTTTTTAAAAAAAGCAACAGAGCAGGAATCCTTTTGTAGATAAAGCCCAAGTGAGTGCCTTTAGAACAGCAGGTTGGATATTAATAACTAACTATTTATCTACAAGAGAATAATTTCATGGCTTTAAAATTAACTATTATGTGATAATAAAGTGTCCTACTTTTCTGACATCAAAACATACATTACACCTTAAAACCAGCCTGCTTCATCCAATGAAAATTCCAAATAATTGAAATTTTGCTAGTCTTGCTCCGAACATAAAATTACTAGCAAACATCACATCTTTCTTCTAATACTTTCATACTTAGAAATCTTGTATTAAATACTTCAAACTAATCTATTATTATATACTATTTGTAACAATATTTTCATGTATAGTTTGGCAAGATTTGAAATTAAAGTTCTTCAGAGTTGAATAAAAAATTGTCTGGCATTTGACCAAATCCAGTTAAAAAGTACACACTTAAAGATGAAGTTGAATGAGCATGAAATAAACAATGAGTAAGAGGAAATAGCTCAAGCAAATATGAAAATTTAAATTATTTTATTATAAAAATTTATATAAAATAAACCATAAACACAAGTTGCAAATAAAACTTAAACAGAACTAAGCCAGTACATAAGACATTTCAAATGAAAAAGTAATAACAAAAACCTTCTCAGGTTGTTTAAAATATTTCATCTTTTAGATATATGATGCTTTATTTCCTAGACTTAAAACAATGATTTCCATTATTTAATTAGGCTATGAAATATGAAATATTATTTTTAAAAGACAGATTCTCAAATTCTAGGATTAACAAATAGTTGCAAAGTGATCACCAAAATCTTTATGTATTTTTTAACCAAACTGTAAATCCAGAATACAAAATCTACCTGAAATAATCTAACCAAACACCAAATTACTTAAATGAGACTCAGCTTCTGAGATGCTGTAAAGAGATAATTAAAATCTATTTACATACAAGGTTATGTACACAAATGGGGTTTTGTCGATATACTTTTAAAAACAAACCAAACCAGCCACCATTCCTGAAAACCCTTCCTACCATATGCTGGAATTTAAAAGGACTTTTAATAACTTTAAGATTACATAGAAAAATAAGTTTTTTATTATTGAAATTACAAATAATTTTTCTTTTGAACTTACAGAAGTTTTCAGTATTAAGTCCAAAGCTTCTAGAGATCAGTTCTCCAATATCAATGCTTTTTTCCCCCTCTCATTAAAAAAGGAAAGAATTCTATCTGGAGGCAACACTTAACTGTAAATAATCTATTCCCCCCAAGAAATTCCCCCTCAGAATGCAGACATTAGCTTTCACAAATAACCTCTTCACACAACTGTTTTTGAAGAAAAAGTTGATACCAGACTATTGCCCTCACTTTCCTTACTCATTTAAAATCAGATTTTGTAGTTACTTAGTGATAAACTCTTATTATTATTTGGATAACTTTGTCTAAACATGTACTGATGTCAAACGAAAGAATAAATATCTGCTAATATCTGCAGCTAAATCTCATTTCAACAATAAGGATTTTATTCACATGACTATTGTCAAAGTTAACTGTTGATTCAAGCAAGCTGTTCTATCTTGATTAATGCCATTACTCCCTAAATACTTTTTCCAAAACTGTGCCCAAATTTCACCTGTCATACATTTCACAGTAAGAACCTAGCCTTGGATAATGGGTTCTAAAGCCTACAATCAGTCAGGACAGACTGACTTTGAAAAACGATCATCCCATTAAAAAAAAAAAGTCATGAATTTGTGCTTTCTTCCCCCTTTCTGGACAAAACCAGTCAGAAAATATTTCAGGATATATTGCATAAATGACTCCCTCAAATGAATCAGTCCCCCAGAAGTGCAGGATGAGCATGATGTTTTAGAAATATTTCCTGTAAGAAATTTCATTAAAAATTATCTTGCACATATCTGTATTTTTTTCAGAGCCTTCCCAACAAAGACTCCACCATATAATTTTTATTAATAGCTCTAAAGGATGGGGAAAAGTTTATTATCATGCAGACACTTTCAGTTTCTTTTTCTTGGCCTTCAGTACAGGAGGTAGAGAAATCTTAAAGGCTGTCCTGAAACGAGAGAGAGAGGAAAACCTTTGTAATGCTCTGAATCTCTCAAGTGTGAGCCAGCCACACAATCTCCAAGATACTTACTCGCACGTAGTGCAGATAGGGCTGAAATTGCAGAATACTGTAAATTAAAAAAAAAAAAAAAAAACTGAACAAGATGATTTACTAACCACATAGTTGAGGTAACCCCCCCCACCTCCAACATAGAAAAAAAGAAAAACTCAGTACATGAACTTACTCGACAAGCACACAGAACAGACATAGCCAATTTCAATGAGATTTCGATGACAGAAGCAAGCAGCCCGGTAGTCAACATGAATTGGGGGTGGGAGGATTAACTGAGATCTCTGATCTTGATCAGGAAGAAAAACCCACTGTAAAAAAAAAAAAAAAGGCAAGAAACTTACTTAAAACATGGGGAAAAATAACCAGAAGTCAGGACACAGATATCAGATATTAGCCAGTCAACACTAAGGAGAACACTAAATTAGGATTTTCCTTAAAAGTCTATTGAGAAATGCATTTTTATTCATTCAACAATTCTTGAGCACCTACACGTACAGGCCCTGTTCTGTACACAATCAGACAACATTCTGCACACAGCTTACAGGGTTCAAAGACGACCTGAAGTCCACCTTCTCAGCTTTGAACCCCTAGGTCACCCATTTATGCCTTTCTTCCAATCACTAGCATCAGCCATCTGGCTCCCACTCACTCCCCAGGAAACAAGGGTCTCACTCTACTCAAGTTAGGTTCACTGTGGACGTCTCCTCACCAGTAAATACTGCAGAAGGGAGGGCATCTGAGGCACCTTCAGGTACAGTCCCCCTGTGATGTCGCAAGCCTGCAAGACACACAAAGGGCTCTCTGCCAAACTAGCACTTACTTAGCTTTTCTAGAGGGACATAAGTCTCACCAGTAATTCTTCAGGTCTCCAAAAGGAGAGGAGGATATAACAGCAAATTAAAAGGGAATGTTTCCCCAGAGTGAGACCCAGAAACTTCCAGCTACCTCTCAAGATGCTCAAATATCTTATTTCCCCCTTAGCCGACACCCTTTCACCCTCAAGATTGTAGCATAGGACAGTACACGCCCTTTCTCCTATTTGTTTGCCACTGATAAATTTTCATTCTTGCCATGTTTATTCACTTTCATCATATATATATTTTTTAAATTTTTATTTTTCCCCCCAAAGCCACAGTAGATAGTTGTATGTCATAGTTGCACAGCCTTCTAGTTGCTGTATGTGGGACCGGCCTCAGCATGGGCGGAGAGGCGGTGCGTTGGTGCGTGCCCGGGATCCCAACCCGGGCCGCCAGCAGCAGAACACGCGCACTTAACCGCTAAGCCATGGGGCTGGCCCTCATTATATTTTTCAATAACAGCTTTGGGATATAATTCACATGCCATAAAATTCACCCTTTTAAAGTATACAATTCCCTAAGTTTTAGTATATACACAGAGTTGTGCAACTGTCACTACTATCTATGTCACTACTATCTATGAACATTCTCATCACCCCAAAAGGAAACTGTACCCATTAAGCCGTCACTCTCCAGCCCTCCTTCCCCCAGCCCCTGGCAAACACTAATCTGCTTTCTGTCTCTATAGATTTGCCCCTTCTGGACATTTCATATAAATGGAATCATACAATATGTGGCCTTTTGTATCTGGTTTCTTTCACTCAGCATAATGTTTTTAAGGTTCATCCACGTTGTAGCAGGTGTCAGTGCTTCATTCCTTTTTGTGACCGAATAATATTCCATCATATAGATATACCACAATTTGTTTATCCATTCATCCATTGATGGACATTTGAGTTGTTTCCACTTTTTCGTTATTACGAACCACGTGGCTAGGAATATTCATGTACAATTTCTTGTGTGGACACATTTTCATTTCTTTTGAATATGTATCTAAGAATGGAATTGCTGGGTCACATGGTAATTCTATGTTTAACTTTCTGAGGAAGTTTCAGACTGTTTTCCAAAGTAGGCTGTACCATTTTACATTCCCAACAAACACCATGTACCTACCGTTAAGCTTAAGAAACAGGACGATTCCAGAACCTTTGAAGCCAGTGTACTTTCCAGGTCTATCTCCCCTTCTCCACTCCTCATCCCCAGCAGTAACCTAAACTCAAGGATTTCCAGTTTTGTGCTTTTAACTGATCTTTTAGGAAATAATATTTCTTGTGGTCAAAAAATATTTATCAAAAGTTCGGTAATTTCTTCAGTCTTAGTTTTGGTTTTTAATCGAGGAAGACTGGCCCTGAGCTAACTTCTGTTGCCAATCTCCCTCTTTTTTTTTTTCCTTTTTTCTCTCCCAAACCCCCCAGTACATATCCCAGTTGTAGGTCCTTCTATGTGAGACGCCACCGCAGCCGTGCGTAGGTCCAGGCCCAGGATCCACACTGGTGAACCTCAGGCCACCGAAGTTGAACCCAGGAACTTAACTGCTGCGCCACCGGGCTGGCCCCTTAGTTTGTTTGTTTTTTTTTTCCTCTTTTTGGTTAAATTAAATTTCAGTTTCATACATTTGATTAAAAAGCAACATCTAAAATCAACAATCCAAAGAGGCTTATGCACCCCTATGTTCATTGCAGCATTATTCACCATAGCCAAGAAGTGGAAGCAACCTAAGTGTCCCTTGAC